CTGATCCACGCGCATTCTCCTGTGAAGTCATCCGGAGACACCAATGAAGGATGGACAACGTCCATGGTTGCCGCTGAGTCTCTAAGTGCTCGGCACGTTTTCTCATTCACCCTAATTTCTTGGAGATACGGCTCCAACAACCGCATGGTTTTTTCTGATTCTCGGATTGTTGCGAAGGCAAATGTTTCCTGACAGTTTCTCGCGATGTGCCCTTCCTTTTTGCAGTTGTAGCAGATTAGCGGCTTCCGTTTGTTTTCCGATTCAAATGCCTGTGTGGTAGAAACCTCACTCGATTTCTCCGCTTCTATTTGCCCTTCCCCTACACTGTCCTTCGTAAGAGACGGGTCCTTCTTGAAATTACGGTGCGGAGCGGGTCTCCGTTGATCAGGTTTCTTTGAAAAGCCCTCTTTTCTCTCATTCTTTTCAACGCGCACTGCCCTGCTGTGCAACTTTCGACGAGTATAATACTCCTCAGCTAACTCTGCTGCCTTGTTTAGCTGTACTTCACCAAGTCTGTCCTGCAGCCAAAGCCTGACATTATCCTCGATGCAGCGGTAGAATTGCTCCAATGCAACGCATTCCACCACTCTATCGCGGTCGTCATAAACACCTTCGCCCTTGAGCCATTCAATTAAATCGGCCTTAAGACGAAACGCGAAGTCAACGTGTGACTCATTCCCCTTTTCAGCATACCGGAACCTTTGCCTGAAAGCCTCGGGTGACAACTTATAACGTCTCAAGAGCACTTCCTTAACCTCGTCATAGCTCTCAAACGCTTCCCTAGACAAGCAAGTTAATGCGTCGGACACTTCGCCGGGAAGAAGAGCTAACAGGTTCTGCGCCCAAAGAGACCGCTCCAAAGCGTTTCGCTCACAGACGTGTTCAAACTTGACGAGATACTTCGCCATGTCCTCGCCTACTACGAACGGTGGCAGTTGGTCCCGAATTCTAAAACCGCTGACCTGAACTGTTGGAGAAGCTATGCTGGCGCCTGCGAACACTGTAGGATTGCCAATTCTAGTCGTTTCAGTCCGCCTGACGCGAACATCGTGAGATGTTCGCGTCAGGCGGACTGCGGGCTGGCCTTGACCCAGATTGCCTTTTTCAGAGGCACGGACGTTTGACGAGGACTCGCTGGCATAACACTGTGCAACTTGTTCTTACGTTCGTTGATAGATGGCAGCACACTGCAAGCAATTGTTTTCTTGCCGGGTATCGGAGCGAAATGATCTCCGCACCCTCAGATGAACGTGGTGAGTGACGGCGTGCTGGTGTTGTGCGTGGTGAATGACGCGTTGTTGGTGCTATCGAAATCATTTGTCGGAGAAAATTCCTCAGAATACTTTCAGCAGTTATGTTCAAAGAAACTGTCTTGACGTGGAGGATTTTTCGCTGGACGTAGATGGTTGTTAACGCGCAGAGAGTGACAGCGGAGATGAACGATCAGCTACTAGCTCACAAGCAGAGAGTTGCACTTCACATCCCGTCGTGCGTTAATGTTGTTCACGCTCGTAAGTCACCCTTTGATTGTATTTATTGTATAATATCCTTCAGCGAGCTCACAAGAAAAGCATACTTTTTCTTGTGCATTGAATGTATCCCAATTACAGTGGATATTACAAAGCGCCGCATGACGCCAACACACTCGAGCTCGACCAGCCAAGCGAAATAGAACAATGAAATATGCAGTTGCGACTACAGTCTATGCTAATTTCTTCTGCATTTCACCGATGCTGTCCGAACGATGTTGTTGTTCGACGAATTTTCGCAATTTTGACGTTGCGAAAAGCGTACGCGTGTCGACATCCTTGTTTTGATTGCGATAATGGAACCTGCAACATCCGAGTGCAGGGAATTGCGCACTGTTAGTCTGATCATGGCTGTGACAAAAGCGCTACCTAATGAGAAGTTAAATGCTTGTGTTCCGTTGAAGAAGCAGCTGCATGATGCTTGCAGTGCAAGTAATGACGATGGCGTAATATGCTTCCAAACCATCGCTATTAAACATTCAGTCCTGTGCAGCTGCGACGGCGCGCTACTTGCTAGTGGTCTACTACAGCGGCAAATACGCTGGACAGGCTCGGCACAAATTATCTCGGAGTGCCGTTCAGTTCATACGTGAATTCTTCTCGTTTGCGCAATTTCCTATACCACGTACAGGATTGCGCAAAGCATCGTTGATACACGGTCGATCAGCTGACACCACGACCCTTTGCACTGCGGCAAGAAATGAGGTAGCGAACATTCAGCAGTTCTTATCGGTTGGGAAAGTATTTTGGTTCGATATACATTCATTTGACGATCAAGAGTTCATCTGGGGAAAGTGCCGCGGGGAGTATGTATGTGCGTCCTATCTTTTCTTATGCGAGTTTACGGGTTGATGAATCATCTGCAGCCATCTTGGGTCGTACAGCGCGCCACCTATAGGCCATGGGCATTGCTAATCGCTGTGGCATTGTCTCCACCGAGTGGTCATCCCCAAGAATGGAGGGGGCAATGCTTTTGATGTGAATATGCGTGCTCTGCAAGCCATCAAGACCTATAACAAAGGTGCAACTAGTCTAAATGACTTCTGGTCTATAATGAACGTGTCGCATAGGGACCTACACCACAAAACTTTTTGAAAACAATTGAAATCAAGGTTTAGATCTGCTGGTTAAATGGCTGCAGCGAGTGTTTTTGCCGATGCTGTGACAGCTGTGTGCTCTGTTTACAGCCAAATGGAGCACACATATACAAAAAATGTCACAGTAGTGTATGACGGGACATGGATGACACGTGGTCATGCATCTCACATCGGTGTAGGCTCAGTTATCGAGTTCTGCTCTGGCTTGGTGCTTGACTGCGTCGTTCTCTTCAACAGATGCCATGGCTGCACACTTGCGCCAAAAGAAAAAGATGAGGGGTATTTATAAGGATTGGAAAGAGGCCCATGCTTGTAAAAAAAAAACACTGGCGCAAATTCAGGCCGAATGAAGGTCAAGATTGCACTAATTTTGCTCAGAAGGTCGCTAGAGAAGAACGACCTCTGGTTCGACATCCATTGTTTGTGATGGCGGCAGTCGTACTTTCTTGGCTCTTTCTGAAGAACGAACATACGGCTTCATTCCATTGGCAAAAAAAGATTGTATAAGTCATGTCGAAAAGAGGATGGGTAGCAAAACACTGGAAACGCTTGTAGCAAAAAGTAAGAAAATCAAACTATTGGAGGGAAGGGCGGCCTGACTGAAGAACTGACTATATGACTAACGAATTATCATGGGATGGCCATCCATGACAACACTGAGATTGAGGACATGGTAAGAGCCATAATGGCGACGTTTCATCACATCACTTCAAGAGATGAAGAGCCGCACCATGAATTATGTCCGCCTACACCACTGAGCTGGTGCAAGTACCGTGCTGCAGAAGTTGAAGGCAAGGCTCCACCACTGCACATGTAAAAACTGGCAGCACATGTTGCAGCTGCATTGCTGCCAGTCTACGAACGGCTTTCTGACCCTTAGTTGGTAACTCGTTGCCAAGGCAAGAAAACCCAAAACGCAGCTGAGAGTCTACATTCAGTAATTTGGTCTATTCGCCATAAAGAACAAAATGCTTCGTTGGTTGCGCTGCCGAAACAGCTGTGAATGAGGCCATCTGCAAGTATAACTTTAGCACGAAAGCAAGCATCAAATGCTTAAGAGGCCTCGCATCACAAAGGACACCAAGAACTATGATCCCGGTGCATTTTAGATAAGTGGAGGCAAGGAAAATCTTCTCGAGCCATTTTCTCAAAAGTGTCTTTTTGCCTACCTGCTGAGATTGCGCAGCCATTTTCTTCGTAACAGTCTGGCCTATCTTGGCTCTGTTATTATTTTTCTTTGCCATATTCTTCGGACTTCAATGTATATCGTGACATACTTTCTTTCTTTCTGTCGTGTATCCGATGATATCTTGCCTACGTCTCGGCGTCGTCAGATACACTTTGACGGTGGACAGCTGCTGGTGTTAATGTGTTAATGCAACTGTTTGGTTCGTTCACGAAATTTAGTTGTAGGCGTTGTTTCAGCGCGCTTTTTATCATGGCCTTGCTATGTATGTCTGAGAATCGCATCGGGACGCTGCTGAAAAAAAAGTAAGAAGCAGCGGACACTTTTTGAATTTCGAGAATAAATGTTTGTTTGTTTTGCTAGCTCAGATCAGCTATATTTTTTCGATTTCACTACAATGAAATTTTCGCTTCAACGAAACTTTTTCTGTGCCCCGTCAGTTTCGTTGTAGCGAAATTCGACTGTAGTACGTACGAGTTCTAGGCCTGTTGGTACCCATTTCAATGCAGAACGACAACTCTATCGTAAAGTTATAGTGTACATCTGTTTGCGTGTGAAGAAAAAGAAGCCAGTGTAGAGGGGTAATACAGACAACAGGATGACTGCTAACTGGCCTTACTGGTTTCTTTTTTTTTTTTCACGCTGAAACAGAGCTGTGCTACAAGTTTACGATTTCATCATCATACACCAACTCGTCCGATCTCCAGTACAACTTCATCTGTACTGTCTTTTCTCCTTTTCTGTAACATGAGGAACTTGACTTGCAATGTAGAATGAGGGATAACTAGCCTTGTTTTTTCGAAGCACCTTTAAAATGAATCCTGTGCACCAAACCACCCTTGTTTCCTGGGAACTACGTTGCGTCTGTCTTGTTTTTAACTGCAGCGCTTCATCACACTGGCCGAAGGTGCTGACCTCTATCTTTGGAGCTGACCTTTAATCTGTGCTATCTTCTTTTAGTCCTTTCTTTTGCGCAAAAGTCCATTCATAATGGAATACCAACTCGTCCTACGCTCGGTTTTTCTAACCCCTAATATCCGAGCTATTTTGCTAGTCACCAGTACTCAGTAGGAGGAGCCCTCCACACTTTGACCTCCTACCGTTAATCTTTCTTGTCAAAACGAGGTGCACCATCGCTGACCAGTTGGTTTTCTGGTTGAATAGGCGCGGCGGCAACGCTGCGTGCAGGGCGGCCTCGCTGGCGGGGTCAAGCGGGACTACACACGCCGGCCCGTGACCAACGCCAGCACGTGGAGGACACCGGTGCCCGTCGTAGTGACGGAGCCGAGTGCGGCCAGCACGGGAGAGCTGCAACCGGGCGACTATATCATCGCAGTGGCCGACGTGCACCGCTCGCGGCCGCCCATCTGGCGCATCGAGGGACGTTCACTGCTGCAACGCTTCGAGGCTCTCGAGACGGGCGAGGACACAATCCTCTACCGCAACAGCTCCTCCGTAAGTGCTCGTTATCTCGCAGTGGCAGATACTTTCGTAGAAGTGCTACGTTCACAATCTGGTGCAGTTTATGTATGTATACCTCTAGAACTGAATTTTGTGACTGTTTACACTGAGTGATGTGCAGGTAATGTCAGACTTCACCGAAACGATGAACAATGAAAATGGCGTATCTGACAATGCGGCAAATGGTTCTTCAAAATTGAAATTGCCGCCGGTTGTTACATGAAGCGAACTCATCTTAGACATTTTTTCGTTTATTTTTTTTCAGTTATCGTGATCATACTGCAGATGCTTATGCAGCGTTTTCTGCTGATTGCAAATATGTAATTACTTTTCCTGTATCTCATCTTGTTCCTGAAATAACTTGATTTCACCCCCTATTCCTTTGGGCCACCATATAGAAAAAGTGCGTAGTTAAAAGTGATATTTAAGATATGGCAACATAGACTAAGGACCAAAGATTAAAAGTATGCAATAGTTTTCTTTTTTTGGGGGGGGGGGGGGGGGGGGGGGCATTTCTTAGTTATTTTACAGCACAATGCACTTTTCATTTTCAAAAGCAGTTGGAATTATGTTACAGTTTTGTTAAGTAATTAATGAAAAGAGCTTGTGCTCTAAATTCCGCTCCCATACTTGCATTCTATACACGAACTGATTTCTATTGAAACAATAATGATTGTTGTACCTGCTCTAGCTGCAGAGATATTGAGGCTTCAAAATTGAACAGTAGTAAATTCACTTTTTTGAGAAAAATAGAAAAAACTACTAACACCCAGTTCCTTCAAAAAAAAAAAAAAAAAACACCAATCATGGTGTACCTGTTTTGCAATACGGCACTCATAAGTTGGTGGTAGAGCTTTGGACACATATGCTGGCAAATTATGAAGAAGCCTCAAAGTAGGCTCCCTATTTTTTGCAGGTTATGCATTGTGCTAGTGCCAAGACCAGTGGGCAGTGGGCAGTCAGAATGACATTACAAAAAAAATTACCACTTCCTGTTGGGTGAAAATTTGCAGAGTGATAGAAAATTACTTCCAGATATCAAACATGGCAATTTAAGAAAAAATGAATTTTTTTGTCGCCTTTCAGTTCCGAAGACCAGTCTGCCCCCTTAATTAAACCTTCATTTCATGCTGGGGCATATGGTTTGCTTTTTTATGATTAACTAATCAGGAACCACTGGTTAAATGGGTACTGAACAAAACTTTTGAAGCCGAAATATTCAGCCATATTGAATGGTTGGGGGCTGTAATCGCAACGCAGCCTTTATTTGATAGAGAAACTAGAAGAAAATAGGAAATTTCAGCTGTTCTCTGCAAACTGCTGCAATAGCAGACACGCTGTGAATTCGAAGAGGTGACGTTTCGTGACACTGAAATCGGCAGGCTAACAATGCCGCCCCGCCGCGGTGGTCTAGTGGCTAAGGTACTTGGCTGCTGACCCGTAGGTCGCGGGTTCGAATCCCGGCTGCGGCGGCTGCATTTTCGATGGAGGCGGAAATGTTGTAGGCCCGTGTGCTCAGATTTGGGTGCACGTTAAAGAACCCCAGGTGGTCAAAATTTCCGGAGCCCTCCACTACGGAGTCTCTCATAGTCATATGTGGTTTTGGGACGTTAAACCCCACATATCAATCAGGCTAACAATGCCAGCGCAGTTTCTCAACCTGCTCAGCTCCTACTATGGTTCCCAGAACGACTACGAACAGCACTGGCTGTAAAGAATGCTTAAGCTGGGGTGAAGCTCTTTCACTTTCCACTTTCACTTTTATTCCTTAAAGACCCCACTAGGGGGCATTACATAAGGGGTGGGTTACGATATATATAACAGGTTGAACACTTTATTTTATGGTATATTAAGTGACCATAGCATGTTACGGTCTTGAATTTGCCTAGACTTGAAAAAGGAACGACAGGAACTGATACGCAAGAAGCCAATCAATGAGCTAGCACTGAGAGGGAAAGTACAGGAATTCAGAGTCTCGCTTCAGAACAGTTACTCTGCTCTTATTGAGAAAACCAACCTTAGCGTAGATACAGTGAATGATAATCTAACGAGTATCATTATGGAGTGTGCAGTGGAAGTTGGAGGCACGGTAGTTAGACAGGACACTAGCAAGCTTTTTCAGGAAACGAAGAATCTCATTAAGGAGCGTCAAAGCATGAAAGTCTCAAGTATAACAGACATAATAGAACTGCAGAGCTTTCAAAGTTGATTAATAAGCATAAGGTATCCGATGTAAAGAGGTATAACATGCAGAGCATTGAACACGCTCTGAAATACGAAGGAAGCATCAAAGCAGTGAAGAGGAAACTTCGAATAGGCAAAAATCGGATGTTTGCACTAAGGGACCAAGAAGGCAGAATAACTACCAATATGGATAGAATAGTTAAAATAGCAGAGGAGGTTTACAAAGATCTGTACAGTAGCCAGCACAACCACGACCTTAATATAAGAACTACCTCTAACCCAGATAACACCCCACCAGTAATGATAGAAGAAGTCAGAAAAGTCTTGGAGAGCATGTAAAGAGGCAAAGCTGCTGGTGAGGATCAGGTAACATCAGATCTGCTGAAAGATGGAGGACAGATTGTGTTAGAAAAACTAGCCACCCTGTTTACGAGGTGTCTCCTGTTGGGAAGAGTAGCAGAGTCTTAGAAGAATGCTAACATTATCCTAATACATGAGAAAGGAGATGACAAGGACTTGAAGTATTATAGGCTGATCAGCTTGCTCTCTGCAGTATACAAGCTATTTACAAAAGTAATTGCTAACAGAGTTAAGAAAACATTAGAATTCAATCAACCAAAGGAATAAGCAGGATTTCGAACAGGCTACTCAACAATCAACCACATTCATACCATCAATTAGGCAATAGAGAAATGCGCAGAATGCAGCCAACCGCTATACATAGGCTTCATTGATTACGAGAAGGCGTTTGATTCAGTGGAAATATCAGCAGTCATGCAAACACTGCGAAATCAGGGCATAAATGAAGCATATGTAAGCATCCTGCAAGAAATCTACAGGGTATCAACTGCTACCATAGTGCTTCATAAAGAAAGTAACAGAATATCAATCAAGAAGGGTGTAAGGCAGGGGGATACAATCTCCCCAATGCTATTTACCGCATGCTTTCAGGAGGTTTTCAGAGGCCTAGAATAAGAACAGTTAGGGATAAGAGCTAATGGAGAGTACCTTAGTAACCTGCGCTTTGCCTATGACGTTGCATTGCTGAGTAACTCAGGGGACGAATTGCAACTCATGATTACGGAGTTAGGACAAGGAGAGCGGAAAGGTGGGTCTTATTAAAGTTAATCTGTAAAAAACGACAGTAATGTACAACAACCTCGAAAGAGTGCAGCGCTTCGAGATAGGTAATACTGCACTTCAAGTTATAAAGACTATGTCTACTTAGGGCATGTAATAACCGTGGAGCCGAACCACAACATTGAAGTAGCTAGGAGAATAAGAATGGGGTAGAGCATATTTGGCAAGCACTCTCAAATCATGACAGGTGGATTGCCACTATCCCTCAAGAGGAAGGTATATAACAGCTGTATCTTGCCGGTACTTAGCTACGGAGCAGAAACCTGGAGACTTACAAAGAGGGTTCAGCTTAAATTGAGGATGACGCAACGAGCAGTGGAAAAAAAAATGGTAGGTGTAACCTTAAGAGACAAGAAGAGAGCAGAGTGGATTAGGGAACAAACGGGGGTTAAGGATATCATAGCTGAAATCAAGAAGAGAAAATGGACATGGGCCGGGCATGTAGTGCCTAGACAGGATAACCGCTGGTCATCGAGGGTAACTAGCTGGATTCCCAGAGAAGGCAAGCGGGTTAGGGGGAGACAGAAGATTAGGTAGGCAGATGAGATTAAGAAGTTTGTGGGTATAAATTGGCAGCAGCAAGCACAGGACCGAGTTAACTGGGGGAACATGGGAGAGGCCTTTGTCCTGCAGTGGACGGAGTCAGGCTGATGAGGATGATGATGATGACGATGATGATATTCAGATGTGATCGCTTCAATGAAAGCAGTAGGGCTTGAGTTAACGATGTCTTGTGCAAGGTCGTTGCAGTCCTTGGCTGCTTGAGGAAAAAAGAAGATGCAAAGGTGACTGTCTGTGCGAGCATGAGGACGGGCAACGTTTAAGGGGTGGCCAATGCGACAGGATATGCGGGATGTTGGCAAAACATACAGAGCTTGATTTAGCGTGCTGTGGTAGAATTTATGAAATAATGATAAACTAGCAATGAGGTGTCGATTGGAAAGTGTTTGTAAGCCAGATTCCGCTTTCAAAAATGTTACGCTGATATCGTATGAAAAGGCGGAATGAATGAAACGAATGGCACGCTTCTGAAAAGCCTCAAGGGCGTTTGTAAGGAATATCTGGCGAGCATTCCAAATGGCTGATGCATATTCCAGTTCGGGCCGTGTTAGTGTTTTGTAAGCTAGTAACTTGAAATGCTGTGTAGCGCTTTGTAAAGGACGTCATAAGAACACAAATGTTTTATTAGGTGATGCACGAACGTTGGTCGCATGCACACACCAGTCGAGATATTCGATATTGTCACACCTAAGTATTTATATTGGCATACTGTCTCTAGTTGCTTGTTTGCTATTTCATATTTGATTATTATTATTATTATTTTGTGGGGTTTAACGTCCCAAAACCACTATTTGATTATGAGAGACGCTACTTCTAACCGCATTTCTAACCCAATAAAATTCAAATATTTCATATTTGAATTTTATTGGGTTAGAACTGCGAGAAAACGACATTGTTTTGCATTTACCAGTATTTAAAACCAGTAACCAGCGTTGACACCAGTTTTTAGTATTGTACAAGTCCTATTGAAGAACAGACTGGTTAGTATGGCATGCGTCAGCATTGCGTTTGGTGAAAAGGAAGATGTAAAGGAGAGGTGGAGAAAGAGAAGAGGAGGACAGTAACACGTGCATTCAGCATTCGCCCCCGTGAAGGTGATGTCTCTGCTAGGGCGGCTGCCTTGCGCTGATAATTTTCTAAAAATAGGGGAAATAAGCTGCTTCTATTCGAACAGGCATGTCTTCCGAGTTGAATGTTTACGTTTGTCAGTGTTTCCAAGTTTATGTTCAGTATCCCTTTAAGGCAGAAAACAGAGCTTCACAGATTTTGTGTCAGGCCGTTCTTTTTTTAAGGGGAGATGCGGGTCGAAAAACGCAAGTTTTTTTTCAAATTACAGATTTTTATTTTTGTCTGTTTTGATAAGGTTAGTACCTCTACTGTTATTAAAAAGAAATACAGGTTGAGACCTAACTGGAAATGCTTTAAAATTGCATCTAAAGAGCACAAGGTGCCTATTAAAAGGTCCAAAGTGTGTAGTCTTCGAGCACCTTGCCGCCGGTAATGCGCTGCCGCTCGCCGTTGTTGATCGCATGAGGCGAAGAGTCGAGCCTCTTTCTTCAAATAACAACAGTTTCCCTCGCTGATGCAGCGCAAGAAATAATAAAAAGAAGCACGCTTCTAAGCGTTTTTCGAGCGCCGCGACTGGCTTATCACGTGGCACGGATCAGGGGACCGCCATTGGCCGCTGCGCGCCTGTATGTGCTGTGAAGCCTATTTGCGGGGTCCATGCCTTGTCGAGCAGCGCAGCTGAACAATGCTTTTCTCGTGTAATTATCTCCGTTATGAATGAAAAAAGCCATTGCTCGCAAGCGAAAGGCGTTGTGCGGCGCGCTCTGTAGGAATAGACTGCTGGTCTGATTTGCGGCAGTTGTTGGCTTGCAAAAACCAATGCATCAAAAGGCATTTGCACCCGTCAGCCGGAAAGATCGTGATGCGGCAATGGATGACGTCAGCGCCAATCTTGCGAGGTCGAAAGAGCTCGCAACACACTCTCCAACACGTAGCTTAGCAAAGACGACATTGCCATTATGTACGTCGGTATGTGGCACAAACATGGCCGCAATATGGCATGATACTGGACTTAGTTTAGATTTCGTAGTCCTGTCGAACTTCTTCCTAGCTTGCAGTTGCTACATGACTCTGCCAGATGGAGCGGAAGTTTTGGCAAGCGTGTCATGGCCCTGTCTGTGAGAGAAATGTCTGTGAGGATTCGGCTCGAAAAAGCCGAGAGGGACAAACTTATGGTGCTGGCGTTTTTAGTGGCAGTGGCCACTACAAAAAGGATTGTTCTTTCTGGTTGTCAAATTTCATCAGATTTAATGATATCTTTCATAAATAAAAACTCAACTGTAAATTTAAAAACTCAAAACGCAAATTTCGCCATTTTTTTAATGTGCCCCTCCTTTTTTGGGCAGTGCTCGGATCTGCATGAAATTTTGCCCAAATTTTTTAAAGTATGACAAATGCAATTATCTAGTTTGAATCTGAATATTTTCTTGTATAATAAAAGATTGTATGTAAACCTTTAATAGTGTACGTGAAATATGTACTTTTTAAGTCTATTATTTCTCACGCCTATTACATATTTTGTGTGTGCTTCCTAATTTGTTATTTGCATCCTACACTTTATTACTATGAATGGTAAAAAAATTGTGGAAGCTCAGAGATGAAAAGAGGTTAATGTTTTCACTTTGTCATGTTGCAGAGCTAAAAGTATGCAACTTGCAAGAAAACTAATTATGTATTCGAAATCAGCATAAAAAGTTTCATAAACAGATCAAGTTTCATTGCTCTAGGGTGAATATTAAAAAAAAGTGTCTTCGAGTAGCATCACCCCTTAAGTGTCTGCATTCTTCATGCCACACATGATAGGCACTGTGGAAAACTGTACAGTGTACGGTTGTTCCTCTTTATAGCGTTCTAATTTTTATGTTCAACACGGCCATTTATAGTCGAGGAACTGCTGTTACACATCCTTTTTGGACTGCTACTTACCCTCCCACCGATCTTTGCACACAGTCGAACCCACTAATAAAAGATCCCAGATATAATAATCTATTGGTTATAACGACCTTAGATATAATAATATATTGGCTATAACGACCATATTTTGGTGCACTTGCGATTTTTGTGCATCCACATATAGCGAACATTATTCAAAGTTTCCTACTTTTACACCAAATACTTTCAACACTGTCATTATGAAGCTATGTTGAAAATGAAATGAAAAAAAAAAAGTGAATTTAATTAGGTGACTTAAAGCACGCGAGAGGCGTCTGCTTGTGTGTGCCTCTCTGCAGTGTACTTCCAACGAAGTTATTGTAGACAGCGGCGAGCACCGCATGCAGATTTTGGTGTCATGAGCAAGGTTGCTCACTTTCCAGGGGTTTCTTTACAGGCAGAATGGCAGTGGCAAAAAAAATGTTTCGTACGAGGCAGCATTTAGGTTTGTGGTCAGCTTTCCCACGGCAATTTTTTATAATGCTGTTGTCTGCATCTATGACCGCCAAATCTTCATCTTTCCTGTGATCAAGGGCTCATTGAAGCATTTTCGAACCTTTTGGCTAGAAGGCCTTTACGCGCATCAATTGCATTATTGTGTTCTTTTTTGAACTAGGATATTGGTGCAAGTTTTAATGGAAGGCCTGCCGTAACAACCTTGGCCTTTATTTAAGTCGCCCACTCTAACCAAGTTGCACGATTGGCCTTTGTAAATTTCAGATATTTGTCCTGTCAAATTATTTGAAACTTCAAATAGTAGCTATTTGAAAGTAGAATTGAATCGTTTGGTTACGTATAATTCGATTTGGATTTGAAACTGGAATATTTGCACACCCTAACTTTGACACAATGTTCACTGCATAATGTCTGGCCATAAGTGAGCTTCTACAGTGCTGCACTAGCAGGAAAATGGTTTGTTGTCATGTGAGGGGTCTCTGTCAACTATTGATGCCCGTGAGGTGGGCTGGAATGGTGAATGCAGTTCTCAGCGTGGAACCCGCTGGAGCAGTCCAAATACGCCAACATATCTGTGCGGGTGCACTCCAACAGCCGGTCAGCCACCGTTGTCGAAGTGCTCGAGATCCACGCCAGTCCAAACTCCAGCCTCGCCAAGTAAGGAATTTCTCTTTTTTTAGTCTTTGAACCGTTGTTTTGCTTCAGTTTTGGGACATTGCTGTTGCTTAGCATCTGTACTCGAAAATAAGTCGTCACTATTGCAAAATGACTCGCACATGTTAACCTCGCTGCAGGGGAAAAAAAATATTCTAATACAGTCAAGCCTGCTTATAACAAACTTGAGCATGACGCGTCATCTCTTCGCTGTTTCACGAAGTTCTTAGTAAATGAAACAGAGCTTTAAGGAAGTCCCAAGTGAAAACACAAATTTCTTTTTTTTTTTTTGCAAAAAGTTGGTAATGCCATACATGTTTCGAAGAGCAGAAGCGAAAGGGGGTTTCAAGTTTATATAAAGCGACAGCGTGTTTTTTGCTGAGGCCCGTGGCGTATACAAGCTGCCTGAGGCTATTGGCACAGACTCTAATATTTTGTCGTCGTCATAACCTGTTACCTCATCAATCGCTCTTGTTGCGCACTTCATTCACAACGCCCTCATCTGTGCACAGTTCTGCTCAAAGGAGGTCTTCTAACAAGACCAGTGATCAAAAACTCAGAAAGCCAGCCGATAGGTCTTCGAAAGATTGGTGGCACTGTGAAAAAACACTGGCCTTCTATGGAGATGCCAGGTGCTCAGAGTGAGGGGGGGGGGGGGCAAAAGGTTGTGGGGGTGCGTAACAAGAAATGGCTGGTGCGAGGGATAACTAGAGGGCTGTAGAGGCAGGGTTGGCGCGTAACGATTAGCATCTATGGGCACATTGCCTATGGCTTATCGGCAGCTGAATGTGGTGTCTCAGGAAGTCGTCGTTGTGCCGACTCCGTTTGCTGTAACCGATAGGCGGCGCTCCATCAACCCTTTTAGAATTCTTGAAATCCATGTTCTATTTAGAGCAACAATGCCAAAATATTTAAAGATTGTGTCGGTGCACCTTTAAAGCATGTGACAAATCTCTGCAACTCTGCTCGTATTTGATGGGTTCTAAATTTCAAATTTTTTACTGCAGTCTATCTATGAGGCAATGAACTCCTAGAATGAAGCCATTTGATGATTACTTCGAAAAAGTGTTGAGGGGCCCCTTTCGTATCTGCATTAGCCAAAGAGAGTTCCTTAAGAGCTGTGCTGCACATGAGCAGCGCAGCTGCTGAGCTCGCCCGTCGTGTCGTGAATTTTCTTTCGCATTGCTGTCCATGGCAGAAATGGTGGCACGGAAGCCAGGTCTGCGGCATGTGGTGACCAGCAGCCCAACCTGGAGGAGAAGTTCGAAGTGTACCTGCAGACGCTGCTGAGCCACGTGCTCGATCCTAACTTCCTGGCCGAGGTGCACCGTGAGAACGATGAGTACTTCCTCGCCAACCTTGCAGACGGTGGACGGTGAGAATGAGCGCCGAGGCTCCCAAATCCGGCAGCCTCTTTGGGGGCCCAAGTTGTGGGACGCCATCATCATGCGGCCCCATGTGCGGATCACCGACCGTCGGCCCGATGAGGGCGCAGCGGCCGTAAAGAGCGAGGCTGAGAACTCGGCGGGCGAAGAGGTCGTGGTGGTGAAAAGCGAGCAGCCTGTCGGTGAAACGCTCTGCGAGGTGGGCTCCCCTTTCATCTCAATTTTAGGAGCGAGGGGTTTTCAAATGCCCGAAAAAAAAAAAACCAGTCCTTGCTGCAACGTATTACGGGAGGTTTATTATTTTCTAGTTTGACAGCAACCTGATAGACAGCTCTTGTACGATTGTCAGTGACATTTTTAGACGAAAATTATCATAGTGGTAATTGTTATTACACAACACATGCACGCGAGTGTAATTAAAGGAAGACGTGATTTGGAAAAAATCTAGTTTTGTTAATTTGTAGTAAAGGGCAATCGAATTTTCGCTCTATGTATAGGCTTTTATGCAGATTTCAACTGTGTAATTAGTTTGGTAGTAAGTTGCATACTTTTCGTTTTGTGCCACGACAATGTCTAAAGTGCCGTATTTATTTGCATAATCCTCACACTTTTTTTTTTCGCGGAAAACCAATGAAAAGTTGGGGGGTGCAAGAAGAGGTGGATAGCGAAACCGCGCACCGGCTGCTTCGGTACTTCCGGTTCGGAGACTATCCCTTTGCCGCTTCAAGGTGCCTGCTGCGCAGTGTAGTTGGGGAGGAAACACATGCTATTCTGTGATGCATTTGTTCCCACTTGTTCAGTGATTGTGGTGATAAATTCTTTTGCAAATGAATACACAATTTTGCGAATATCAGAGAACAAAGCGAGAAGTCGAAATGGGTGATGACGAGGAACGGTGAGAGGCGGGTTGCGAGCGTGTTTATGCTTTGAAATACACAGTAATCTTTTTCAGAATCGCCTCGATTCAGTATTTTCGACCACAAATGGTGGCCACCTCAAGATCACTCATTAAAATGAATGTATGCTGCCAAATGTCAACGCACGTTGATAACATAAGAACACATACTCTGCCCGATCAAGTACGCCGATACAGTATATTTGCATAGCATATTCTGCATATGCTACTGTTTGTCAAATTTATGAAAACGGCTCAGTGTGTGAAAGGCCCATGGCTCAAGACGACCATTCATTTAAAGGTATCGGACCACATAAAACGACCAAAGTCTCTCTCGAAGCTATGAGTAGCATGGTATGACGCCCGTATCATGTCAGACTTGCAAGATTGAAGGACTGATAGGCTTAGTTGTACTTTGACTCATATTCTTAAGGGCTATGTCTCACAAATGTATGTTGAGCTTGCATTCATTTTGTCACAGGTATAGAAAGGTACCTCAGGCACACATGCAGAAATGACGCAGAAGGGATGAAGACGACGATGCTGTTGTGGGGCCGTGTCTGGACTGCCCTGTTGTCCTGCATCCTTGCCCACTGTGTGCAGTGCTAGCCCAACCAGCGTTAACTTAATAAATACTCCCCGTTACATTTTTTTGGTGGAAGTGCTGGGTAACATTTAGACTCTGGGTCTCCGTAGCGGACTGTCAGCCTCGTCCAGCCACGATGCCTGAAGGCAGTGCGCCGTCCATTCAGTCTACGCCTGCTCCCTCACCTGTGATCCCTTCCGATCTTCTCGATCCAGGTACATTTTGCGACACCGACATAACTGACGTTGACGAGTGGCTCGCCTTATACGAGCGCGTCAGCAAGCAATACAGGTGGAATGCGACGCTTATGCTGGCCAACATCATCTTTTACGTGCTGAGGTACTACATGTGCCTGGTACGAGACGCACGAAGAAGATCTGACGAGTTGGGACGTGTGCAAGCAGAAGCCCCGTGACTTGTTCGGCAGGTCAGTTGCTCGTAAATGGCAGCCAGGCAGGAACTCGCGTCACGAGTTCAATCTTCCACCGACTCGTACGTCACCTATATCCAAGACGTGCTCGCCTTGTGTCGGAAGGCTGACAAAGACATGACCGAACTATACAAGGTCAGCAATGTGTTGAAGGGCATAGACGACGATGCCTTCAATATTCTGATATGCAAGAACTGTACCACCATTGACTCAATTGTCAGTGAATGTCGGTGGTTCGAACAAGCCAAAAGCAGAAGAAGTCACTCAACATTTTTGCCGACTCCCTAACACCCCTGCGACTTTTTCCTGCAAGGATCCTGTGGCGCCACGTCCATTCGTGAATCCTCCAAACATCACAAGAATTTTCTGCCCGGAGCTCGAAGACATGGCTCCTTCCGCTTATCAGTCCCCTGTGCCTGACAACTTGTCCCCAATATCTCTTATTCAGGCTGTTGTGCGACAAGAGTTTACCAACATGGGCGTCTTAGTTCCCCAAAACTCTAGCCACACACCGCAGCCCATAAATCTTACGCTCACTACCCCGCCGCCCACTTGTTGGTGCTGCCGTGTCGGTTCTGCGGTTGTCATCGCGCTACCGAAATCCATCAGAGTGGTGCACACAACATGATCGACCAATATGCTTCTCTTGCCATCGCATCGCGTTGGCCACATTTCCCGCCACTGCCACAACAGATGGACTTTCCGGCAACGTTTTCTAGACGACCACCGACAGGATCGTGGGCAGTATTCGCCACCTCGTTTTGCCGATGACCACCTTCAAGACCTTCCACCTAGCCGTTCTACGCTACGCTCCAGACCATCCTACGCCAATGTTGTCGCCCAGGGAACCAGGTCCAGCTGCTTGCCGTCGCCTCAGGGTCGCCAGCCGCGCTCCTATTAACGCCGTCGCTCCCCGTCGCCGGCGTTTTCTGGGCAGTTCTCGGGGAAACTAACAGATGCAGCTTCTGGAGGTGGCGCTGCATTGACCACTTGGACCGAAAAACCTCTATTGACCACTAATTCCAGACGAAATTTGCTTGGTGCTCTTATCGATGGCCTGACCGTTACAGCTCTAACAGACACTGGTGCCCACATATCCGTTTTGAGTTCACGTCTTCGATTCCGTCTGAAAAAAGTTCTTACCTGCTGCCATGTCTTCGACTGTGCGAGTAGCCGACGGCAGCCGAACATCAGTTCTTGGTATGTGCACTGCCCGCGTCACTGTTGCCAGGCCTTCACTTTTCAGTCCTCTTCGCTGTTCTGGACTGCATGCCCACACGACGTGATTCTCCGCATTGACTTCTTGACCGCACATTCAGCCCTCATCGATTGTTCAACTGGCACTTTACAGCTAGAGTTGCCTTTGTACTCTGATGTTCGTTCTGCAGCTTGCACACGGCTACGGTCCATAGAGTGTCCATGATTACCGCCTCAGGCCGCTGTGTACCTTTCTATGTCGCCGTTCCCACCTGTTCCTGACTGGCGACTACTTGGCAGCTCCACTCATTGACTTGACCCTTTTCCGGAGCATCATACTTCCTCATACTATAGTGAGGATTAGCGACAACAAGACGCTTCTCCCTGTCCTCAACTTCTCCGTGTCGACCCAAGTCATTCCTCAAGGTATTGCCTTAGCAGAACTCTCCACTCTGGAGCCATGTACAATTTCATCTCTCACTCCTAACATAAAGACCGTAGCCGAACCTGTTGCAGCCGCACAGAATAGAGCTTTCCTAGACAAAATGATATCAAATGACCTGTCCGCCTGTCCCAAGTTGAAGCGCATTGCGGTCTTCTATTTTCTTACCTCGACATTTTTGATATCGACGACTGTTCCTTGGGCCGCACGAGCGTCGTAGCCCACCGTATTGACACTTGCGACGCCAGTCCCCTTCATAAGCGTCCTTACCGTGTGTCTCATTCAGAGCACCAAATAACCCAGAAGGAGGTAGAGAAAATGCTCGACAAAGACGTCATAGAGCCTTCAACCAATCCTTGGGCATCACCTGTTGTGCTTGTTAAAAAGGACAGCACATGGCAGTTCTGCATCGATTATCGCCATCTCAATCGAATAACCCAGAAGGATTTCTATCCTCTACCTCGAATTGATGATGCGCTTGACTGCCTTCATGGTGCCAAGTATTTCTCTTTCCTGGACCTACGATCTGGATATTGGCAAATTTCAGTCGATGACTGCAACCGCGAGAAGACGACATTCATAACACCTGACGGGCTTTATCAATTTAAAGTCATGCCTTTTGGGTTGTGCAATGCGCCAGCAACTTTTGAACGCATGATGGACTCCCTCCTTCCCGGTTTTAAATGGTCGACGTGCATGTGCTATCTACACGATGTCATCGTTTTCTCGCCAACCTTTGAAAGTAATCTTCCACGTCTGTCGGCCATTCTTGACGTTTTTCGCTCTGCTGGCCTCCAGCTTAACGCGTCTAAGTGCACCTTTCGGCGTCGTCAGATAAAGCTACTTGGCCACCTTGTTGATGCTACTGGTGTACGACCCGACCCTGATAAAGGCCGCGCGGTGTGGGAGTTTCCGGTCCCACATTCCATGCAAGAAGTCCGCAGCTTTTTGGGACTCTGTTCATATCTCCGCCGTTTTGTCAGCAACTTCGTGGAAATTGCTCGGCCCCTCACGGATCTTCTCAAAAAGAACGTGGCTTTTCCCTGGCGTGGAGACCAAGAACATTCCTTTGCGTCGTTGATTTCTGCGCTCACATCACCACCTGTGTTGGCCCATTTTGACCCAGCCGCTCAAACGGAGCTTCGCACCGACGCAAGTGGCCATGGCATGGAGGCAATACTCGCACAAGTGCAGAACAGCACAAACCGTGTCATAGCTTACGCTAGCCGCTTACTTTCTCAGTTAGAAAGGAACTATTCAATTACTGAGTGTGAGTGCCTGGCTCTCATCTGGGCTATTGCAAAATTTCGTCCGTACCTATATGGACGCGCATTGCAGTCATCACAGACCACCATCTGCTCTGCTGGCTGTCAACCCTTAAGGATCCTACAGGAAGACTCGGGCGATGGGCATTGCAATTGCAGGAGTACACGTTCTCTGTAGTGTGCAAGTCTGGCAAGCTTCACAGTGATGCCTGACTGCTTATCTCAACATCCTGTTGATCCACCCGACTCCTCTGAGTTGGTAGCTGATGCCAACGTCCTAGTCATAACAGATTTTCTGCAAATAGCCGACGAACATGGCCGAGATTCATCGCTGCTACCGATGATTGACCGTCTTCAATCCGGCCATAAAGACCCTTCACTGAG